TAAATGCCTTTGCTTTAAAGGGGAAAAAAAACCCAGAATGAGAGAGCTGGGAGGGGTCTTAGAACATAGAGCATCAGAACTGGGAGGAGCTTTATAAGAGAATGTCAGAGCTGGAAGAGATACTCTTAGAGATCACCTGGTTTAACCCTCTTTTTCACAAATTAGGAAACTGAAACCCAGAGAGAGAGAGAGAGACAGACCTGCCCAACTTAAGTTAATAGGTCAGTGGCAGAGCTGAGACTAAGAGCTCAGTTCCTAGCCATCCAATGTTCTATTTTCTGCACTCTGCTATCAGTCTTCACACACTCCCCTTCCATCTCAGCACAGAGGATCCTGGGAGAGGGCAGGGAAGATTGGTGGTGGCAACACCCACTGGGCATAGGCTGGGAGTTGGATTGGTGCCTGCTTCCATCTCAGTGTCTGCTGGTGCCAGCCTCCCCTTCATCCCTTCTCTCTCAGCTACTCAACGGGCCTCAGTCATCCTCCCTGTCCTGCCAGGACTCCGAGTACCAGACAGAAGCAGGCGATTGTGCTGTGTGCCCCGAGTGCCCACCGGGAGAGGAGCCTAATCAGGTGAGCCCACGCTTGGCTCCAAGGAGCGCACCTGCCCTGAAGGAGGAGACATGCATGACCCCTGTCCTCACGGAGCCCCTGCTTTCAAGGAGGAGGGGAGCTATAAGGATGGGTGGGTCTGAGAGGGGACATTTGGCACCTGTCCTCAGAGACCCCTGGCCTGAACTGGTAGACTGGAGAATGGTCAGGACTAATCCAAGATGGCTTCTTGGAGAAGGTGGCCCTTTGGGAGCTGTCACATAAAGGCAGAAAGATAAGGAATAGAGGGAGGGTAGCTTTTTGTGGCTGTGGGATGGCTTTGACTGTCATTGCCCCTTCAGGACCCAGACATCCTTCCTTTCTCGGCTCAAGCATGAAACCTCCCATGAAGCTTCCCTTGATTGTCCTCAGCTGCTAGTGGCCATCTCCTAAAACTACCTTGTATTTATTTGTGTGTATGTAAATGTACATCCTGCATCCTACATTCAAATGGTGGTTCCTTGGGCAAAGAAATTTCTTCCTTTTTGTCTCTGTATCCTTAGTAGCTGGCCCACAGTAAGCACTTAAATGCTTGTTGATTGATTTCCCCCTAGGAATGTGGTTCCGGACTGGGACTGGGTACTGTGTGCCGTGCCTGCAGGCCAGGTACCTTTTCAACCAGCCTGGGACAAAGCCCCTGCCTGCCCCATACTGGCTGTTTCCATCTGAGGAGGGTAGAGGTCCAGGCGGGGACCACAACCATCGATGCTCAGTGTGGTGGCTGCATTTCAGGGTGAGCATCTTTTCAGCTCTAGAGTTGAGAAGAATATTGATCCTCAGCCCAGGGCCACTGGGTTAGGGGGGCAAAGGTTCCTTCCTCCAGTGGCAGGCATCATTTGTTGAGTTGGAAAGGGAAAAGAATCTTGAATTTGGAGTTGAGACATTTGGGTCTGTATGACTTTGGGTGAGGCCCTTCCCCACTTCCAGCCTCAGTTTCCTTATCAGTGAAATTAGGACATTGGACTAGATGATCCTTAAGGCCCTTTCTGGCTGTCCTGGTATCCTGACATGTTCTAAGGTCCCTTCCAGCTCTGATATTCTAGGTTCTGTGTTCTAAGATTCCTTTGCGTGGACATTCTCTGTTCTATGGGTTACATCTCTCAAGCTCATTGGTTTCAGAAGAGAAATCTTAGTGACTTAGGCATCACTCCATTCAGATCTCTGTTAGGCATTGGGGAAAGAAGAAGAGAAGATTGGGACAGGATGGAGAATTTGGGGCTGTCTTGGAGCCTCACTGACCTGAGGGCTACCGCTTCTCCCATAAGGGGAAACCAAGGATCAGGGAGTGTGTAGAAGTGTGCCCAGGCCATCCAGCCAAACTGGAAGCAAGAGCCCAGGAATTCTAACTCCCACTGTATGTTCTGAAGGCCCTTGATCCCCCAGTATGGCCATGTTGGAGGAGTCACTTTTTTTTTGCTGAAAATAATTTCTAAGGCTGTTTAATTGTTTATGAAGTTCTTTCATCACATCAGCCCCGTGTCCTCATTCTTATTCCCGTTTCATTGATGGGAGCTAGTAAGATTCAGAGATGGGAAGTGATTTCACAGCATCCCAGACTTAGAAAGGGATCCCCAAAATCAGCTAATCCAATGCCTACTTGGACAGAAATTCCTCTTTTCAGCATTCTTGGTCTCCAGAAATAGGGAACTCACTCTGGTTTTGATAAAGCACCCCGGGGTGTGGGGTTGAGGTCTCTGGGAAGCAGAGGGTGAGAATGGGAAGTCCTAGAGGTTCACGTAAGGGGTAGGTCAGAGGGGACTGCTGGGTTTGAAGTGGGGATGTGGAGTTGACTCTAGGTATGAGACCACCTTTGTTTTCCTGCAGGTTTTATTACCCCAGCAGGCACCTAAACATTGCGTGCAGGCCTTGTTCTTGGGCACCCATGGGCACACCTGGCTGTGAGGGTGAGTGTGTGTTTCATATGGTGGGTATTGGGGACAAGGTGCCTAAAAGATGGGGAGAGTGAATGAGGGAGAAATGGAGGCAGAGCCAGAGAAGCAAAGGGATAAAGAAAAGAAGAACCAGAGGGAGAGAAATTCCCTAATTTCCCTAATTAAAATTCCCTAATCTCTCCCTAGAGAGAAACTGAGAGACAGAGTTTAGTGTTTTATAAATGATTGCTGATTGATTGAGGGTGAGAGAGATGAAGATAGAAAGGTGGAGACAGGAAGAGAGTGAGACAAAACCCAGCAAAACCAAGGAGAGGGAGGATGAGCGAGTGTGTGTGTGAGGTAGGGCTGTGTCTGTGTGTGTGACAGAGAGACAGACAGACAGAGACAGAGACAGGGACAGAGAGAAAAGGAAAAAATGAAGAAAGTAAGAAACACTTAGAGAGGGAGGTACCAGGAAAGGCAAGCACGGAAAAAGTCAAAGACATGGAGACAGACATTCGGAGATGAGACATAGAGAGTTTGAGACAGCAAGAGAAAAAAATGCAGCAAGATAAGATGGAAAGGGACAGATTACGGAGAGACGGAGACAGGGAAAGATGGAAAGGTGAAGCAAGGCTCGGGAAGGGAAGAGGGATGGATACAGGGGGAAACTGAGAGCTGGAGGTACAGGACAGCCAGGCATGGGGAGACAAACAAGGTGAGTAAGGTGAAGGAAGATGGAGAGAGCTGGAAGAAGACAGAGAGGGTGATAGAGAAAGAGAACAAAATCCCAAAGCTGGAAGTACAGAAAGATAAAGACAGAGACTGAAAGGGTAGAAGGGAGAAGGGAAACAGACGGGGTGATGGAAAGACTGAGACTGCAGAAGAGATGAGTTAGAAGACAGAGCCCATTGTCCTGAAGGGGCAGTTCCCTCTTCTTTTCCTTCTCTCTCTCTCTCCCAAGCTTGGAAGAGAGAGCCCTCCCCAGAACTGATGCTGACCCACTTTCAGCTCCTGAATATGCTGACTCTCCCCACTATCCTTGGGGGGCAGGAATTAGAAGACAGCCAGGGCTGAGGCAGCAAGCTTTCTCTTCCACGACTGAGGCATGTCCCTGGGGGATGGGGACATAAAGGAGCTGGGTACAGAGAGGCAGCATGGGGCTGTGGAAGGAACCCTGGGCTGAGAAGTAGGAGACCTTGCTCTGCCACTAACTGGCTGTGTGACTTTGGGCAAATCTCTTCCCCCCACCCCCCACCCCTTGGGCGTCAGTTCCCCATCTGTAAAATGAGAGTGTTAGATTCAGGTTTCCAATGGCTCCTCCTAGCATTCATGCTACATAGTCCTAGGATAAATTTTTGCCCCTGATGCCCCCTTTCTTTCGAGGTCTTGGGTATAGAGGGCGACAGTGCCCAAGATCACAGCAGCAGGATGGTGAACTGAACTAGAACCCAGGACTTAGGAGGATCATTTCTCCCCTTCAGGGAGTAAGGACCTGTCTCTGCCAGTCCCTATGGTATCACCCCCTGCAGATAATCTCTGAGATTGGGGAGGAAAGACAGGGACAGTCACTGCCCGTTGAATGCTTGGTTTGTGATTCCTTGAGCTATGTTGGCTGGATGTTCTGCCCTGTCCAACTCTGTGTCCCCTGAACTTTGTGAAACGAAGGGTCAGGTGGCTATGCTTGTGACAGAGGTCCCCCTGGCACATCCCCTCCTCAGGGACCAACCCCCACTGTCCTACCCACATGCAAACAGGACACGCAGGTCAGCAGCAACCATGGAGCCTCTCTCACACACGCATACTCATACGTGGGTAAACAACGGCACACACAGATGCACCCAGGCAGCGTGAAGACGCAGGGGAGCAAGAAGGGTCAGAACACTAATTTTGGCATCCAAGGCCCTGGATTTGAATCCTGGCTCAGAGACTGACTCACTCCAGGGCCTCGGTAAATCATTTTACTCATCTGAGCCCCAGGTAGAGAGTGGAGATGTTGGTCTAGATGACTCTCCGAGGTCCCTTACACGGCTTGAAGGCCCATGACCTTTTGACACATTCATACGCTCACACTCAAACACGCAGATCTGCTCACACCCTAATGGGGCCATCATGCATACACACCCTCTCCTTTCTCTCCCCGCCTTTCACCTGCTGAGTCACCTTCAGTGGCTGTCACCCTGGATCAGAGCCCAGAGCCTGATGACGGAGTGGGGAAAATAAGGACATGTGGGCCCACAGCTCTGTGTGTGTGTGTGTGTGTGTGTGTGTGTGTGTGTGTGTGTCCCCTAGGACGTAACCACAGTTTATAGACAACACTGAAACAGAAAACTTACTGTTTTGTAACAGCTTTGAAGACATTTCTCTGCAGCGGGGGTGAGGTGGGAAGGGTGGATGTGTTTGGGTGAGAACATTGGGCTGGGGGTTCTAATTCCACCTCTGCCATTGACTTACTCTGTCTCTTTCCCTTTCTAAGAAAATTTCCATTATATATCAAATATAAGGGGGTCCACTAGACAAGTCACTTAGAGTCCTTTGGAACTTCTAACATTTTGTAACATTGCCTGTGTCTCTGATCCCAAGGTGACCTATTGAAATCAGGGTTCATTTAGATATTCCATGGAACACCTCCTGTGCCCATGCCATGGGACACAGGCCCCTTCTCCATGCCTAGGTGGGCCCCTTTCCTCCAACACACAGATTACAAGGGGACTTGGGGAGAGACTGACCAACCCATTGAAGAGGCGGCTCAGGGAGAGGGTAGGAGGGCCAAAGAGGGACTTCTGGGAGACGCTAGGGAGACTGAGAGGGAAGTGTAGGGACAAGGAGTGGGGCAGGAGGGTCCCTACTCCTGGGAGAGGCTGAGGTGGGGTGGTGCCCTCCGAGCAGTCACTGGGGCTGTTCTTGGGTCAGCATCCCTTCATCCCTTCTCACTAACTTAGGGGTCTCTGTCTCTGTCTCTCTATTCCCCATACCTGATCCTCTACCTCTGTTTCCCTTTCTGTTTTCTCTTCTCTTTTTTCCCTTTCTCTTTCTCCCCTTTCTCTGTCTTTTCTCTCTTTTCTCTCTTCTTTCTCTCCTCTCTCTCTCTTTCTCTCTCTCTCTCCTTCTCTCCTTCCTTCCCTCTCTCCTTCCCTCCCTTTGTCCTGGTACATATTTCTGCCTGTCACCTTCTATGTTATTCTCCCCTCTGGTGTCTCCTTTCAAATGGCCCTTCTTCTATCTTTGGGTCTCTTTTTCTGCTTACTGTCTCTGCATGTTTCTCTTTTTTTTCTCTGTGTATCTTCTCTGTCTGGCTTTCTCCCTATCCCCCCTCCCTCATCTGTTCTTTCTTTTTCTGTGTTTCTCTTTGTGTGTCTCCTCTGTGTGTCTTTGTGTGTCTGTCCCTCTGTGTCTTTCTGTTTCTCCATGTCTGTCTCTGTCTTACACTATGTGTCTCTCTCTTTCTCTTTCTCTCCCTCTGTATGTCCCTTTCTCTGCTTTCCCTCTGCCCCTCCACCTGTTTCTCCTCGCCATGTATCTTTGTCTTACGCTATGTCTCTCTGTCTCTGTCTCTGTCTCTCTGTCTCTCCCTCTGTGTCTCCTTCTCTGCTTTCCCTCTGCCTGCTCTCTCCTCGCCATGTCTCTGGCTGAGGACAGAGCCCAGCCTTAAGCGTGGGGCCCGGCCGCGCCGTAACGTGGAGGCCGGGGTGGGACCCGAGGCGCGCCTCTCAGAGAATGGCACCCAGACCGAGGTGCCCGAGGAAGCCGCAGCCCAGTATGCCGTCATTGCCATAGTTCCCATCTTCTGCCTCATGGGCCTGCTGGGGATTCTGCTCTGCAACCTTCTCAAGAAGAAAGGCTATCACTGCACGGCCCACAAGGATGGCGGTGAAGAGGCCGGGCTTGAGGGCAAGAACGGTGAGTGGGGTACAGAGCCCTGAGGGGAGCAGACACAGCCTTCCTCCTTGGGGAGCTGTGAGTCTGAGGCTGGGAAAAGCCCCTGCCTCTGGTGGGTGGGTGTTTGGGGACTTCTGGGGACACCAGAGGAGGTGATCCAACCGTTCTCTAGGTGTGCATAGCCAGGGAAGGGGGAGCAGGTCATGGTGAAGATGAGATACTGAGGGGAGATCCAGGCAGACATGGTCTGTAGACACCTGGATATTCTAGTCTGGAACCCAAGAGAGGCATCGGGCTTAGACCTAGGAGTCATCAGCAGAGATGAGCTCACCCATGGAGAGAATTGAGAGAGAGAAGATTAGGGTCCTGGATGGAGCCACACAATTAGTGGGTAGGAGAGGAAGACAAACTTGGAAAACAGATGGAGAAGGAAAGGGCAGACAGCTAGGAGAACCAGGAGAGAGCAGGAAGGCCCAGATGGAGATGGCGTCAGGCGGGAAAGAGATGAACAGCGCAGTAGCAATAAAAGGAGGAGGAGGACGAGGAAAGGCTGCTGGATTTGGTGATGAGGAGGGCCTGGGGGACCGTGGAAAGAGTGGTTTTAGTGGCATGTTAGGGCTTAGGGAGAGCAGGCAGTGAGGAAGTAGATGACTCTGCCAGAAATTAGATGGCTTAAAAAAAAAGAAATTAGATGATGAAGGGGCCCATGGGAGAGAAATGGAGCAATAGCTTGCAACCATCTGAGTCCTAGGCCTTTTTAGTGCTAAGGGAGTCTAAGAGCATACCTTCCTAAGGGGCCAAAGTTTTAAGGGGTCGAAGGTTTTGAAGGCCCAAAGTTCTAAGGTTCTGAAAGTGTTGAATCAAGTTAGGTACCAGACTTGGGAGGCAGGAAGACCCAAGTTTGAACCCTGATTCAGATGCTTACTAGTTGTATGACTCACTTACTCTCTTTTAGCCTTTGTTTCCCCATCTGTAAAAATGGGAATAATAATATGAAACTCAAATGAGATAGCAGATTTTTAAAACAAAGCGTTAATGTTATACTTTAAAATGTCTTTAAACAGCTTTGGAGGGGGGAAAGTCTGTGAGTCTGACAATCTAAGGCTCTAAATAGTCCCAAGTCAAAAGCGCTGCCTGGCTGACTCCAATTTTCCTTGATGGCTGAAGTCAGGAATGTGGGGCGCAGAGGAATGGGGACACTTTCCCCTCTACCTGCCTGAACTCCTTCTGGGGAAGGGGCTGAGGAAGAGGAGTGAGGGTACTAAATGGATTATCACAGTCTCCAAGGCCAGGGGCCCCCAGGACCCGCCCCTCAGAACCACATAGCATCAGGGGCCCAAAGGGAGCTGAGTGAATGTCTCCTCCTCGAGTTATAGATGAGGAAGCTGTGACATGGGAAGGGGAAGGGACTTACCCAAAATCGCTCATCCAAGTCGGGGACAGAGCTAGAATGAAAGCTCAGGCCTCGTGCTTCCCACCAGGCCCATCTTCCCTCCACTGCTTTTTGGCCTAAATTCACCCATCGGCTGTAAGGCCCAAGGAGCATCAGCAGATGAGCTGATTGTATGTGTGTTGGCACTTTGTTCCCAGCCAAATGGTCTGTTGATTTCACTGTAGGCCACTGTCCTCATCGGTGCACATTAACATAATGCAATATTGTTTGACTCAGGCAAAGAGCAAACCATTATATTTGTGTTTTGTTTACAGAGAGAATTGGGGTGTTTCCAACCACCTGGGACCCCTTCTTTCTTTTTGATCTGCTAAGAGCCCTGATGTGGACTCGAGAATAGGAACCGCCATTACTGGAGCCATCGACTCCTGGCCTTAGCCTCCCTGGAGATTAGCTAATCAGTAGAGGGAGACTCAGGGTGACCCATTTAAGGCTGCATCAGCCCAAGGCCTCTCCCAAGCCAGAAGGCTGGCTACCCTTTGGGTGGGTGGGTGATATGGAATGTCAGGATTCTCTAGGGGGAATTCTGGGGCAAAGTGTGTCCAAGATTAACTCCACAGCTGTTGAGGAAGCTTCCCCAGCTGTCTCCTTCCCTGGGGAGTGGAAATGGGGAGAGGCAGGAGTCTGAGAGCAGCTAATAACCCCTCCTTCCCCCCAGGCTCCTCCCACATCTATCCCCTAGGAAGGACTGGCTAGGAGACAGAGAGCAAAGACATTCTTTCTCTTTGGTGGGGGAAAATTTATCTCGCCCTTAGAGGGGAGGCGTCTAGCCATCTAAACCTAAGCCTTTCTGCTGCAGTTAAGGCCACATGTCTGTGGGAAGGCGAACAGTTCTCTGGGAAAGGGCCTAGGAAAGATTCTAGCCGTGGCTCTGCTGCTGATTTACTCTGTGACTTTTGATGAGTCCTTTGGGCACCTCATTTTCCAAGTGAAGTGGTTGTTCTGGGTCTCTAGGGGCCCCTTTCTAGCTCTGGCGTTTTGTGGGTCTGTGCATCCTTATCCCATGGGATCAGGCAAAGGAACCACTGTAGCTACCAAGTTGCCTCTACCCCATCCCCATCCCAGGCATCCAGACTAATGCCCATGAAGAGAGCCAGAAGTTGGTTGTGTAGGAAAAAGACAGGGGCAGAACGCCTCTTCGAGCCCCACATGCTGAGCATTCACCCCATTGAGCAGCACTGACTAGTGCCCTGCCCGGGCTTTGAACCCTGTTCCCTCCCAATCTCATAGACTCCTGTCTCTCTTCCCCAGGGACCAACGCTGCCTACCGGATGGATGACCCCAACGAGGACACCATTGGGGTCTTAGTCCGGCTGATCACAGAGAAGAAAGGTGAGGCTGGGTGCCACCTGTCCCCTCCTCCAGCCTTGGAACCTTGGGGGCTCATTAAGATCTTACATTCTACCAGGACCAGTCACTGGAATAAGAGGAAGTGCCCTGGTGGGAACAAAGATTAGGGAACTGGGGTCTGTCTTGTTGATTCAACACCAGCTATTTAGTTAAGGAGAGGAAGCAATTCCTGCTGTCTTGCTGTGCAGGTATATGAAACCTGGCCCCCCTCCTGATTCTGCCAGGGGAGAGGGGGAAGGAGGAGACAAGCATTTATTGAGTTAATATAAATTAGTTATTTCATAAAATTAGTTATTAATAATGTAGTTATTAATTTATTAAGCATGTATTAATATTTGTTAATATGTTAGGGTACTTTATATATACTATCTCATTTGGTTCTGAGAAGCAGGTGCTATTATTATCTCCATTTTACAGATGAGGAAACTGAGGCAAACAGGTGAAAAATGACTCCCAGGGTTACCCAGCTAGGAAGTGGCTGAGGTTGGATTTGAACTCAATTCTTCCTGACTCTAGGTCCAGTGTTCTGTGTGTTGTGCTTAGCTCCTAATAATAATGATAATGGTTCATAGTGGACGTTTTAAGGTTTACCAAGGTGTTTTCCTTGCTACAACCCTGTGAAATAGTTAGTCCTTAGTGTTATTATTCCACTCCCACCTAACGTTTGCCTCAGTTTCCTCATTGTGCCTGTGCTGTCTGTCTCTGGTATGCCATGGCAGAGCGTGGGACCAAGACAGCACCTTCTGAAGATGCTTCGTATCTTATTGGCCCTTAGTCTGATAAGGGGCCACTGTGTGCAGACTGTGGAGGAGATGCTGAGTTTAGATACCTCCTGTATGTGCCTAGTGGGTACCAAGAGTGTGGTACTCTGTTGTGGTTTTTTTGTTTGTTTGTTTGTTTTTTGTTTTAGGCAATTGGGGTTAAGTGACTTGCCCAGAGTCACACAGCTACTACGTGTCAAGTGTTTGGTCTGAGGCTGGATTTGAACTCAGGTTCTCCTGACTTCAGGCCCGGTGCTGTATCCACTGTGCCCCCTAGCTGCCCCCAGAGTGTGATACTCTGAATGGAAAGTCAGGAGGCTTGGCTTCTAACCTGGGCTTGGGCACCGCCTCATTCTGTGACCTCAGCAAGGTCACTGCCCCTTTTGGGCCTTCACTTTCCTCCTCTGGAAGGTGTAGGCACTGAGCTCCCTGAGCTTCTGAGTTCCTTCCAGCCCTGGAGTTCTTTGAAAAAGAGGTGGAGACAGAAACATTTCAGTGTGATCCATAGCCAGGGTCTGGGGTTCCCCCTGGAGCCACATAATCTCCACCGCCCAGTTTCTGAAGCACTGCCTTAAGGCAGGTGGGCAGCATACTCTGCCAAGCTTAGAATCGGGAAGACCGGAGTTCAAATACTGCTGTAGGATTTACTAGCGGGGTGACTTGGAGTAAGGTGCTTAATCTCTATCAGCCCGTTTCCTCATCTGTTAAATGAAAGGAGTGGGCCTCGGAGGTTCTTTCCAGCTCTCGATCTGTGACCCTTTGTCCTGTTGGCTCCGGGGGAGGCGGAGCAGGACCAGTTGGGAATGGAGTCACAAGGGAGGGGGAACATCGTAATAATTGGAGCTGTCCCTTAGGAGAATTGGCTTCTTCCATCAGATGACGGGATGCCTCTTCTGTAGGAGTAAGCTGGGATGGAACCCTTCCTTCAAGGCTCTTTTCTCCTACCCTACACTGCCTTGAGGGCAGCTAGGTGCCTCAGTGGATAGAGTGCCAGCCCTAGAATCAGGGTGGCCCTAGTTCAAATGCTGCCTCAGACACTTACTGGCTGTGTGACCCTGGGCAAGTCACTTAACCCTGTTTGCCTCAGTTTCTTCATTTGAGCTAGAGAAGGAAATGGTGAACCACTCCAGTATCTTTGCCAAGAAAACCCCAAATGAGGTCAGGAAGAGTCAAGACATGACTAATTGACTAAATAACAAATACTGCCTCTATGACTTTTGTGCCTCCGGTGAGAAGGGTGGACGGGGCAGGCACCGGTGGCTGGTAGTTACCTGGACAAGGCCAAGGATCTCCTGGAGTCTGAGGCCCACAGCCGCCCGGGATAGGAGTGGGGGAAAAGGAGACAGCTGGTAAGACCAGGCCCGCCCTGACCTCTGGCCCTTTGCTTCCCAGAGAATGCGGCCGCCCTGGAGGAGCTGCTGAAAGAATACCACAGCAAACAGCTTGTGCAGACCAGTTACAAACCTTTGCCCAAGTAAGCCAGAGGCCATCAGTGATGGGGAGGCAAGCCCGAGGGGGAGGCGAGAGCCCAGCGGCAGCCTCATTTGTTGGCCATGTGTGTTTCTAACCAGCTGCCTCGTTCCTTTTGCTTCGCTCTGACCTGGCTCCTCTGGCTGTCCTTCCCCCCTGGCTTGTTTGTCCTCCCCTCCTGACTTCTCTTGCCTCTGCTGCCTGATTGGGTTTGCCGCTGGCACCTGCTTTCTCTTTGTGGTTGCTCTGTCCTTTTGTGATTTCTCCTGTCCTTTGCTGTCTGGGTTCCCATAGGCCCAGGCTCCTTGGGGGAGTTGGCTGTAGATGGGGCAGAGGACTTGCTATTATTCTCCAGTTCTTCTTGCTGTTTGCTGGGGATTTAGAGAAGGAGAAGAGGGGTTTTTTTCCCTTCAAGCAGCCAAGAGCCTCCCTCCCCTGTGGCATGGGCTGGAGACAGGGAATGCTTGGCCTCAGGAGTTGGGTAAAGTCAGCGAGGCCAGGCTGGTGGGGCAAGACACAGTGCTGAGGCTATTCTCAGCTGGAGGTGCTATGTAAAGTACCCTCCTTCCTCCTCTTTTCTCCTTTGTCCTCCCCTTTTCCTTTTTCTCTTCCTCCTCTTTTCTTTTCTCCTCCCCTTTTCCTTCTTTTTTCTCTTCTTCCTCCTCTTCCCTCTATTCTCTACCTCCCTTTTTCTCTTCCTCCTTCATCTTTCCTCTTCTTAACTCCTTTTCTCTTCCTCATCTTCTTCCTCTTCCCCTTCCTCTTCACTTGGGGTCCAGTCATACTGTCTCCAGGTGTCTCTGTGGGTAGACTCTAGGGGAGAAGCAGGCAGAGCTTGAGGTTACACTGATTCCTTCCTGCTCTTCCCAGGCTGACCCAAGGCCCCCCACCCATACCGCACATCTGCCAGCACCAGCACCACCTGCACACAGTGCAAGGCCTGGCCTCCCGCTCCGGGTCCTGCTGCTCACGCTGCAGCCAGAGGAAGTGGCCCGAGGTCCTGCTGTCCCCCGAGGCTGCTGCAGCCTCCACTCCCACACCCAGCGTGTTGCCACCCCGAGGTGGTGGCAGCAAGCCCACTCCCAAGGGGAGCCGCCCAGGAGAGATCACCATCCTCTCTGTGGGCAGGTAAGTTCAGGGCCCTTTGGGGAAGGGGGCAGGGAGTTCTGAGAGGAAGAGGGATCACTGGTACTAGGGGAGACTTTGGACACAGGCCGTGTGATACAGAAGAAAGAACTTTGGCTCTGGAGGCATTCACAACCTGCCTTTGGAGCTTACTTGTATGACTTAAGGCACTTAGACTCCCAGCACCTCAGTGCCATCATCTGCAAAATGGGAACAATAACAGTACCTCTCTGAGAGGGTTGCAGCGAGGCTCAAATGACTATCTAAATGTCGGCTATTATAAAATGAGGGGGCTGGACTCAGGCTCTGAAGCCCCTTACAGCTCAGGGTCTGTGATCCTGTATACTCAGGGCAGGGGCTTTAGCAGGCATGGGCACGGGGGACATGGGGATTGAAGGTGGAGGGCAGGGCCGTGGTTGGTCTGCTACCTGGCTTCCCTTGGACAAGTCATTTCACCATGAGGTGATTGGACTAGACGGTTTGTGAGGTCCCTTTCAGCTCTCACAGATTCCATGACTATAAGGAGGGTCAAGATGAAAGAGGAAGGGGCTCCTACACCGGTACCTCCTACAGGGAGGTATGCTGATTTCACTAATTTGCTATCTCCCAGAATTAGCCCGAATTTACTCATCTGTTGAAATACTATCTCCTAGGGCAGCTAGGTGGTGCAGTGGATAGAGCACTGGCCCTGGAGTTGGGAGTTCAAATTTACTAGCTGTGTGACCCTAGGCAAGTCACTTAACCCCAACTGCCTCCCCCCCAAAAAAAGACAGAGAGAGAAAGACTGAAGAGGAAAGAAATCAGGGGCAGGTCAGCTGGGAGAAGTGAAGGAGCCTGAGGTCAGGCAGAGTGAAGTAGAGCGAGACGTGGAAGGGCAGAAGCCTGGGGTCCAAGGCAACCCTTGGTACAGTTTGGATGTCGGGGCAGAGCCCATGGAATTCACCTCTGCAGTTTTGCCAGGAGCTGTCTGTCTGCTCCATCCTCTGTGCCTCAGGCCAATCCGTTTCTCTCTGCAGGGTGGGCTCTTCGCCATCCTTGGCCTGGGGCTCCCTTGGGACATCCGGGAGACTCCCCCTTGCTCTGTTCCTTACCACTACCTCTGTGCCCTCAGGCTAAACCACTTGCCCCCCTTGCACCTCAGAGCCCCGGTTCCTCCTCTGTAAAAGGAGATGGGTCCAGATGGGCGGTGCTCAGAGCATGTGCTGAGAGCTTTAGTTCAGTGCGCTGGGGAGGGACTGTATGAGACGTACACTTGCAGTCTCGTGTGCCTGCATGAGTCTCCTGCACGTTGGATGGCACTTTATTTGTGGTCGCACGTGTGTGCGTGAATCTCCCACCTCTTCCACAGCACGCTTTGATTACTCAAGCCAAGATCAACAAAGCAACTCACTATGTCCCTGTTCACCGGGAGTGGCTTTCTTTCCAAAGCCTGGTGTGGCAAATGGCGGCTACGGAGAAAATGGAGAGGAAGGCAGTTTGCTCCCTTTGCAGCTGTTGTGATTTTCTTCCCAGAGGTGTCTGAGTTATTTGGCCAGCTTGTGCAGTCTAATAGCAAGGCCTCCTCTTGGCCTGACCCTTTTGAATTTGCTTCAAGCCCCAGAGAGCCAGTTTCAGCCGGAGATGAGGGATGGGGCATTGAAGTTTGCAAACCAGGGAGGAAGGACAGAGAGTTAGGGTTTTGGAAGAATGCTTGAGTCCCAAACTGGTGGTGGTGGTTCTTTTTTGGTGGTGGTGGTTTTTTTTTTAAATTAGAGCATTATATTAAAAAAAAAAATCTACCGAAGGAAGTTTTGTGGATAAGAGTAGGAGTTAGCGAGCTGGAATGGGCACTGAATGTAGAGTCCAAGAGCTAGAATTCTTTCTAAACTTGGCTTTGCTCCTTACTAGCTAGCTGTGTGGCCTTGGAGAGCCCCTTCAATTCAGGAAGCAGCTATGAAGCACCCACTATGTGCTGGGCATAAGGGATACAGAGATAAAAATGAAAGAATAAAAAAAAAGTCTATGCCTTGAATAACCTTCAAGAGAAGATACAATTTCCCCTTCTACTGGGGGGGGGAGGGAGAGGGAGGACACAGTATTTTTTTTTTTTTGGAAAGGCAATCAAAGTTAAGTGACTTGCCCACGGTCAATAAGTATCAAGTATCTGAGGTCACATTGAATTCAGGTCCTCCTGCCTTCAGGGCCGGTGCTCTATCACTGCACCACCTACCTGCCCTGGGAGATAGTATTTCAACAGATGAGTAATTTCAGGATAGTTTTGGGAGGTAGCAAATTAGTGAAATCAGGATGACCTCCCTGTAGAAGGTGGTGCCCAAGCTGAGCCTTGAAGAAAGCTAAGAAAGGTGAGGGGAAGAAGGGAAAGTGAGTAGGAAGTCCATTCCAGGGATGCGGAAGCAGCCAGCGCCTATGTCCTGAGAGAAAGGGAATGCTGAATCTGGTCAGGATAAGAAGGCCAATCTGGCTAGAACATAGTCCAACCACATCAAAGGTAGTGATGCAAAATAAGGCTAGTAATGTAGGGTAAAGCCAATGTTGTAAAACTGATTGAGTTTGTATTTTACCCTGAAAGAAGTAGGGAACCATATAGACTCTGGAAGAGAAAAAATAACATGGTCAAATCTGTACTTCAGGAAGATTGCTTTGGCAATATTGGAGGGTGGATTGAAGGGGAGAAAGACTGAAGGCAGGGCCTAGGGGTAGTGCAGTGTCCCACATGAGGGGATGAGGCCTAAACTAGAGTGGTGTCTTTGTGAGTAGAAAGAAGGAGATGGAAAGGAGAGATGTTGGGGAAGTAGAAATGGTGGGACAATATGTGGGGTGAGGGAGAAAGGGTACCTGGGAGTCACGGACATGAGTGAGCAGTGCTGGAGGGCTGCAGTGTAGAAGTTCCATCTTGGACATGTTGCATCTGAGAGGCCGGGTGGAGATGTCTGTGATTTGGGACTGGAGCTCAGGAGAGACCAGGCATTGGTGTATATAAATCTGGGTCTGGCCACCTGCATCAAGATGCTAGTTGAACCCAAAGCAACTGTGATTCCAGCCCCCTCGTTTTCAGTGACTCACATAGGGGATCACAAAGCCAGTGAGTGGCTGAGGGACTACTCAAACCAGTCTTTCCGACTTCAAGTCCAGTGTGGATGGGGATGCCCATTTCCAGATCCCACATCTCTTTCCTTCTCTCCTCCTTGCCCTGTGTCCATGCACTCCTCCAGACTCTGAGAGTGTATTTTCTTGGGTTTTTCCCAACGGAGGAGAAAATTCAGAGATTCAGAAGTAACAGCCTAAGGGAAGGAAGCGCCTCCGGCACACAGGTACATTAATATGTCCTGGACTAGCAGGTCCCTAAACTTCTAACCTCATCCTGAACTTCAGATCTCCACACCCAGCCTGCACCAGCTGGATCCTGCCTAGACCAAGGAAGCCATCCGCTTCTCTTCTTGGCCCCAGATGAGACTGGCTAAAGAACGAGGAGCTGGCAGAGCAATCAGTGGGGCTTGACTTCACTGGCAGTAGTTTGGGATGGGGGAGCGGGAGACGAGGTTTATTTTTGTTATCCATGCCTGACAGCATGCCTTAGTCCCCTCTCTCTCTGCCCTTATGATCCCCTCAGGCCCATTTGACTCTGTGGTTGAATCTTTAGTTTCCTGGCCTCTGTCCTCCCCCAGTACTGCTTTCCTAGGAGCATAAATCTAAAGCCGGAATAATACCTGAGAGGTCATCTATGTACTTGAGAGGTCATCCATGTGTCTGAGACGTCATGTACTCCAACTCTTTTGGTTTATAGATGAGGAAACTGAGGCTCAGAGGATAAGAGGGTTGGCCAAGTTCACATAGGAGCAGAGCAGGTCCAGTGATACCAAGTTGAGCCCTTTTTCTGCTGGACCATGTTTTTTATCTTCCCATCAATCTAACCCAGGAAAGGGCCACCTTTGAGGACCTAGGGGGCCACAGGTTCCCCATCCCTGCTCTAATCTCACTCCTTTCATGTATCTCTGGTCTCTTTCCTCCAGGTTCCGTGTGGCCCGAATCCCTGAGCAGCGGCCGAGCCCACCACCTCCAGAGGTGAAAACCATCTCAGAAACCAGTGAGGAGGGGGAGGCGGCTGAAGCTCCTCCACCTGGGCTTCCCCCAGAGAACAGGGCCCTTCTGGGCAGTGGTGGAGGGCGACCCAAATGGCTGAAAACCCCAGCATCTGGGCCAACAGAGAGCAAATCAGAAGTGAGCTGTGTGATAAGAGGGCTGGAACATGGGTGTGTGTGTGTGTGTGTGTGTGTGTGGTGGTGAGGGAGAAGAGTTAGTGCTCCATAGGACCCAGTCCCTGAAAGCAGCCACCCCCAGCCTCAGTCAGGGGGCAAGGATGTTGGAAAGGGAGTTTTGGTCCAGCTAGGGCCCCCAGAGTACCGAGCTCCCAATAGCCCTACACGTCTCTCTGCCTGTGGTTTCCTAGCTCATCCCTTACTTTCTACTGACTCCGAGGGGAGGTGTGTTTATCTTTCTGTGAATCAGGCCCAGGTTAAAGTTAGAAGGGCCCATCACTTCTGTAGTCACACAAAAAGTACTTGCTGTGTGTGACCTTAGAAGAGGCAGGTTTTAACCACCTTGAGACTGTAAACCGAGGGTATTGGATTACGTGAATGACGCCCTGTACTCAGTCCCAGGCAATACAAAGTGAAGAATGAAACAGTTCCTGCCCTCAGGGAGTCTGCACATTTTGGGGGCCAGCCTGCAACTGCTCCCCCTTTCTGATCTTTGTTACAACTTCTTCCCTAGGAAAATCGATACGTGGTCAGGCTGAGTGAATCCAACTTGGTCATCTGAAGGTAATGTAGTACTGGGAGAGTCCTTGCACTGAGTGGGAGACAGCCTGCCCCTGGGGAGTGCACAGTCTGGAAGAACACAGTGCAGTGTGTTTTTAGAAACAGAAGAGTGGGGGCCTTCAGAGAGGGGAGATCAGAAGTTAGCAGGAAAGGCTTCCTGGAAGTGGGGGAGGGGAGAGATCTGGGCCAGAGGAAACCATTTCCAGGGAGAGGTAGAGGGGTGGGGGTGAGTGAGTGCTGCTGGCTTCTGAGGAGGTAGAGGGGTGGGGGTGAGTGAGTGCTGCTGGCTTCTGAGCCTCTCTGCAGGGTAGGGATGGGGCAGGGAGTCTGTGTTCTAGGTGCTGACAGGCTAAGGGACCCCCCAGGGGCTCCTGGGGTATCTGAGAGCATGCCTCAGTCCCCTCTCTCTCTGCTCACAGGTGCCCTTATGATCTGCTCAGGCCCCGGGCCCTGCAAAAGACGTTGGAGCCTGGGAGTTGGCAGCAACCTGAGGCCCCAGGGGGGCTGTCCCCCAGGCCCCTGCCCCCTGGGCAGCCCCAGTGAGCTCTGGGAAGTGGGCAGCGGCAGGGGAGAAATCTCACTTCAGCCTGAGCTACCACAGGCAGCTTAATTTAAAGGAAAAGATGATCTTGTCCAGGGAAGAGAGGGAGGCATATGCCCACACTTGATGAGCAGTGGGCTGCCCTGTCTCCTTGCCCTTCCCCCCTGCTCCTCTCCCCGCCCCCTCCCACCCCAGCATCTTCTCCATGCTAGCAGCAAGCCCCTCCCTGGTCATCTGGTCTTTCCCTTGCTCTGGACAGGACGCCCAACCCAGCTTCCTGGGTCCTCAAAGATGGCGTAATCCACACCCAAGTGGGGATTTCCTCCCCAGTGCTTCACAGATGGGACATCTAGCCCCCAAGTAAGGGTCCCTTCCCTGGTGACCCATAGAGAGGACACACCCATCTATCCATCCACCCCCATGCAGGGGTTTCCGGGAAAAACGAAGGACTCAGCCTCTTCTTCATCGCCCCTATTCTTCATCTTATCACTCCTGGGCAGAGGGGAAGTGGCAGTTAGGGAATACCAGGGGAAGAATGAATGGTGAGGATCTACTGTCACAGAATGTCCAGTCACTGGTAAGTGAGAAGACAGGCCCAGAGAGAAGAAACCTTCCAGAGGTCACAGTGAGTTGGGCAGAGTGAGGAACAGAACTTGGGTCTCCTGACTCCCAGGCCAAAGGCCCTTTCCATTGCCCTACAGTCATTGGGAAGGAGGTCTTACCCACACACCTCCTCTTCCCTCCCCCATCCCCCCCCACTCCCTAGCACTTGGTGTTACTCTCCAAAATGGGGCTTGTCCATGGGAAGAGATTTTGGTGGCGTTTACATGGGAGATCTGAGGGGAAGGGACTTAGCATTTGGGCTCAGATCCCAAGCTCTGCCCCTTTACCTCTCTATGCCTAGAAAATGAGAGGTTTCTTCCAGTTCTAAGTCTCTGATCCCATACCATCCCTGGCTGTTGGGGCTTCCTGTCATCTGATTTAGTCCCTGAGGCTGCTGGGAGGGGAGACAGCCATGGAGCAGGAAGGGAATCTCAGGAGACCTGGGTCCTGGCTTTGCCTCCCTTAATTTGTGTGGGCCTGTTTACTCCTGCAAAATGAAGGGCTTGGTGATTTTTAAAAAGATCCCCTCCAGCTCTGACATTCTGAACCCAACTTGCTGTATGTCCTTGTCAGACATTTTACCTCTGAGCTCCCGTTAACAAACCCCTGCTCTGCTCACTGAGCCACAATCCCCCCACCCATATCTGGAAAGGAAAAAAATGTGACTTGGGGTGATGCTTGAGAGGTTTCCCCTGCATTTCCTTGGGAAGAGGACCTCCCATTGTTCCCAGTAGGACCCACACAATCCCTCGGGCCCCCCCCCCCCCGCAGTGGAGCAGGAAGAGGCTTGCTCCTCTCTGCTTGGGAGCAGGGGGCAGTTTGGGCTATATCTCAGCTCCCTCCCCTTCCTTCCCCTCAAGCTGGATCAATAGCTTTATTAGATTCCCCAGCTAGCTGCTCTTCCCCTTACCTCCCACCATCCCAAGCTAGGGCCTTGCTTCTGCACGAGGAAGGGGGGTGCCTTAATGCATGTCAAGCAGCCCCCTCCACCCCGCCCCCCAGGGGTGAATGGCTGTTTTTAAATTTAAAAACCAAACTTGTTCTGTGTTGTCAACTGTAGTTTGGGGGCCTCTGTCCTACCATGTACCATTTTCTCCTCCCATCCCCTAAAAAAAAGTGCTTTAGAATCCCCATGGCTCAAAGCCCTGGCCAGTGCAATAGTAAGGGAAGACGTGGGCTCTAGGTGCTGACCACCCCAGTTATGACACCCCTGGCTATGCCTTGTCGACCTTCCCTGGGCCCCTGACTTGCTTTCTCTCCGTCCACTTTGCTCTGTTGTGTTCTCTATGTTCGCTCCCAGGAGAGAAGTATGGGTGGTTCAGGCAGCGCCTGGCACCCATCCGTCCTGTCTATTTATGTGGGAGCTGTGCAGGTCACAGACCCTGCTGTCACCTCCCCTCCCCTGGTGGGGGGTTGGGCCCTGAAGTTTGGTAACTCTTATTTATTGAATTTGAGTCTTTACTCTGTCTCCTGTCAATACCCATCTTATGCATCCTCATCCCCAGTTTCCTTAAGTTGGATAATAAAAATAATAGAAAGTGATGCTGCGTGGAGAAGTCTTTGTTATACCCAGGGGTCTCTGATAGTCCTCTACACATTCTCTGTGGGTCACAATTGCACACGGAGGCACTCAGGCCCCTGTTCCCCTCCCCCACATGATCCAGTATTGGGGGGGGCACACAGAGATACCTACACAAAGAATGTGTACTGGAATCCCCCTTTACAGCCTCTGACATAGGAAGTCTGGGAGAAGATTGGGGCCACATGACCCTGGGCACGGGGACTAGGGAAATACCCACATAAAGAATGTGTCCAGGAATTCCCTTTCACAAGACCAGGACAGGTCAACCAGTCTGTGTGGATGCTCTTCACCCCATGGGCCCAGATCTTGTCACAGTGATAGAGTGCTGGGCCTGAAGTCAAGAACACTAATTTTTGTGAGTTCGAATTTGACCTCAGACACTTAGTAGCTGTGTGACTCTGGGTGAGTCACTTAACCCCGTTTGCCTCAGTTTCCTCAGAAGGAAATGGCAAACCACTCTAGTATCTTTGCCAAGAAAACCCCAAATGGGATCTTGAAGTCAGACATGACTGAAACAACTGAACAGCGGCAGCTAACTACCACTGTAATGAAACAAGGATTAATTAAAAATAGTACACATAATAAAAAGTACACATTCAAATACAGAATTACACCTTTAGTGTTTAAACATGACAGGGGAAGTGAGGACAAGACTTTTCATATCAAGGTGACTAGAAGCTCTGAAGCTGCTAGAAAGATTCTGGCCTTTAGAAAGTATTCTAAGCAGCCAATTATCATGTCAATGGTAGTAATGGTTTTGATAACTTCCAGAGCAAAAGGGTAAAGCAGGGGGTGGGTAGCAAGATGTCTGAGTACATGGATGCAAGGCATAGATATTAAACAAGTTACGTGATTGGGAATCATGAAGTACTTTTAAAAAAAGGTAGAAGGAATAACTTCATGTATGGATTGGACTAGATACCTGCCAAATCCCTCCCAGCTCAGAAAATGTAAGGTTGTAGGAGAAGTAATAGGCCTCCTCATTTAGGATAGCTTCCGAACCCAAGGAATGAGAATGTTTAGCCTGGAAAAAATGGGAGAGATAAGGGTGGGAGAAAGAGGAGGAATGGGGGAAGTTACAATGAGGAGATTCTGACTTGCTGTAAATAGACTTCTAGCAATGAAACATATTCCCCAATGGAGCAGACTATCTCTAGATGTGAGTCTTTTACATTGCCAGAGGTTTTCAAACAAGAGATTAGATGATGCCTGTTAGGGAGGATGTCTTGGCTGGAGGTTGGAGGCACTGCCTAAGAGGACCTTTCAGGATCTGACCTAGGAAGAAGGAAAGGCTAGGGCTAAAGAGCAGGCACTGTATGTTTGGGTGGTCAGACTTCCTGTTAGCCTAAAAACACCCAAGCAGTCTAAGGAGCAGCTTCCAGTCCCTATCTGATGGTATGCCCACAGGGGATAGGGCTTCCACAGCTGGCTTGATGGAGAACTTCCTGAAGGCTGCTAGGTCAGGCTGGTGGGTCTCCATCCTCTTCCTCTGAAGAGCTAGGCTCAGGACCTCTTCCGTAGGCCTGCACCAGTCAGGGAACAAGAAGCCCAGGTGTGTGTTGAGGGGGGTATGTGGAAGGCCCGAGCTTAAGCTGTTCACTGCATAGGTGCCTGGGGCAGTGCGAATGGGAAGGGGGACTTTATTTTGGGGAAGCAATGATGCATATGAGACCATTTAGTTAGCAATTTAAGGTTTGCAAAACACCTTTGTCAATGAAATTATCTCATTTGTTCCTTACAACAACCTTGGGAGGTAGGAGCTAGTGTTATCTCCATTTTACAGATGTGAAGGCTGAGGCTCAGAGGTAAAATGGCTTCATTGGATATACACAGCTAGTAATTGGCACAGGCAGGAGTCAACCCCAGATGTCTCCAGACTTCTGAGTCTAGCACTTTCCATTACACTAACCACATTTTATAAAGGCATGACCATCTGAGTCAATGAGTGTGTGTGACTGTGCAAATGGGTACAGTATTTCAGCTGAGCTAGAGGGAGTACAATAGCTGATGGAAGGGCTGTCACACAGAAGAGGGATTTAACTTATTTTGCTAGGAACTAGAAATGAGAGGGACAAGTTACAGATGGACTGATTCCTGACAAAGCTTCTTACCTTAAAGGTGTCGTTAGAGGTCATCTGGTGCAACACCCTCATTTTACAGCAGAAGCTCAGAGAGGTGAGGGTGGTCACACTGCCTGTGGGACTTGTCCAAAGTCCCAAAAGAGCTGGGACTCCAACCTGGGCCACTTAACTCTAAAGAGTTAGTGTTCAAGTTCCCACAGTATAACACACCACACCAGTCTGCCTGTTCATTATCCCCAAAGCAAGGATGCCTGGGTACATCTGGAGCGGGGGGGGGGGGGGGGAAGAGAGAGAGAGAGGAGAAGAGGGGAGGAAGAAGAGAAGAGAGAAAAAGAGAGGAGGAGGAGAAAGAAGAAAGAAGAGGAAGGAGGGAGGACAGAGCCAGAAAAAGAAGAGATAGAAGAGGGAGGAGAGAGAAACAGAAAGGAGGGAAGAAAGGCAGGGGGTACAGAGGGACCTGTTTGTGCACACATAAGAGCTGTCCCAGGATGAAATAAGCAGGCTATTGATGGATGGATGGATGGATAGATGGTTACAGATTCCATTATTCAGGGATTTCATGTAGAAGTTTAGATGACTGCTAGTCAGTATCATCTAGAAGGGATCCCTGCTCAGATCAGAATTGGACTAGATAGTCTCAAATATTCCTTTAAATGTGGAGATCCTGTGAACCATTTTCTATGTGCATTACTTCTCATTGTCCAGGTGGGGGTAGGCAGGCAGGCTACGGATTAGCCAGGAGAACCTGGTGATCTACCCTGAAACCCCACGCTGTGGCCACCAGATGGCGCCTGGAATCCACAACGGGAGCTAACTCTAGCACAGTCAAGCTCAAGATACGGGGGGTGGGGGGGGGGAGTGGTAGCAAAACTGGATAGATTGCCCTACATCCTTCCAAAAGCCTCCTCTGGCCTCCTCATGCAGAGCAGCAGTACTTGGGAGGGGCAGAGTTGAAATACATCCAAATCCGTGTTGACTCGACATCCCCTCCACCCCACTACTGCCATGCTCATTCCCCCTTCATAAATCCACACCTTCCATAGGGTCTCTTACAGTGTCTTCAATCTAGGCACCTTAGCTAGGCTCCCAGACATAGAGGGAGAGGTGCTCTCCCCAAGCTAAGACTTCAGACACAATGGCTGTTTTGAAAGACAATGTGATGTAATGAAGATGGACTGATTTGGAGTCAGTGACCTTGGTTCAAATTCTGCTTCTGCTACTTACACGCTTCTGCCCAGTGATCTTGGGGCGATCACTTAATCTCAGCTGAGTCTCATTTTCTTCTCTGTAAATGAGCATCTTAGACTACATGCATGGATGAAGGGGGGAAAAAAGTTCTGCATTTACAATGCACAAAAGGGTGGATACAAAAACAGAAGTGAAGCAGTCTCTGCCCACAAGGAACTTAAATTCAAAAAGGGGATGACAACACATGTAAGGGAGGAGTCATTTGGTTTGGAAAATCAAAGGCATGGTAAGGGAAGCCAACAGGAGAGCAGATTGATGCAACTTTTCCAGGAGCTATGACAGTGGTAAATTGGTTTTGGTTCAAAGGTTGGAAAGGGGTTGGGGGTGATAAGGGTAGCAACAAAGGTATATGACAAGATATCTGGGATGTATAGTGAAGCATACCTGCAACCAGTGTAGACAGAATGGGCCATGAAAGGCACACACCAATTGGGATAACGTGGACCCCAGAGTGGGAGTTTCAAGAATGAAATGATTGAGTCTGGTAGGGTTAAGTCTCTTGACCAAGGGACTAGTTGCTTGGGCAGATGGTAAGGAGAATCTGCTAAGAAGACTGTGGTTGTAGGTATGCATGATTTCAAAGGTTCCTTTCAGCTCTAAAACCTAGATTTGGGGATTATGGACTCCATCTTGGAGCAGAGGAAGCAACTTGTTTTGTAGGCAGAAGGCTGGACTAGACCCATAATGTGTATGTGGGAAGGGCAGAGAGCTGGAGTTAGATTTTAATTTACATACTAGGGACTTGGGAACAGAAGGGATTGTCCTGCAGTGGAATGGATTGACTCATGAAGGACTGAGCTCCGCCTCACTGGAAGTGTTGGAGCAGATGCTAGGTGACCACTTGTTAGAAATGTTGTCCACAGGATTCTTCAACTGGGAGGGAAGATGGATGTTTCAGAAATGACTAGCATCAGAGGAATGCTAAAAGCTAAACTGGAGACATAAATGACTTTTCTTCTCCACCCCCCAGGAGGGCTGTAATTTTGAGAGCAGTTCTAGGACATAGCAAGTAATAGCAGTAGTAGGCTTTGGTTGAAACAGCTCTGGACTGGGAACCAAGATACTTGAATTCTAATTCAAATCACAGAATTGCAGAGCAGAAAGGCTTGGTAGCCATCAGGTCCACATCTGACCAAAAAAAAAAAATCCATCTACCAAATCTTGTAGATCTTCAATGAGAGAGAGCCCAGCACTTCTGGAGACAGTCTATTCACTTCTGGCTGCTTTTTCTTGGATCAAACATAAATCTGCCCCTTTGAAACTCCCACCCATTTGGGGGACCAGTTTTGCCATTAATGCACCACATGATCTTGAGTAGGCACTTCCCATCTCTAGCTTCAACTTGTTCCTCTGTGAGATAAAAAAAGTTGAACTAAAATGGACTTTAAGGTTCTTTTTAGCCCCAAATTCTACAATCCCATTGCAATGTCTCCTTAAGTGAGCCAATCTAAAGCAAAAGCAGATCCAGAGGTGGATAACTAGAGGATCAGCATTTACTAAATAGAGTCCACATGTTCTGCCCTGGCCTAATTCAAGCCAGGGGGAAAAAGTTGCCTGGTTGAGAGGGCTTAGGATTGATATCTGTAAAGTGGTGAAGTGACCTGTTCACCTAAACCCAGTGACTAGGAAGC